CGAATAATGAAGTGGTATCACCATGGGATCATTTGACATATTATAACCAGAGGTATGGAAAGAGTGATTTCTTAGATCGCCAAGATGAATCTGACTTCCTGGAGGAAACACGGCCACCTTAGGCTCGGAAGAGATGACAATAAACCTGCCAGAACTTATAATAACAATATTTGAATCCGGCGAGGGTTGTGCTTCAGGTTTGTGACCAGAATGCTTCTCATCCCGAATTTTCTGCCCACTTTCATTGATTTGTTTAAGTTCCCACTTTCCCACTGCAATTCACCTTCTCCATTAGGAACTCTTTTGTCGTGATCACTATTATTGGGTTCGTTGAAAACCATTTCGGAGGTACCGTTGGGTGCCTCAATCGGATTTTTTTCTAAAAAGAGTGAAAGTGTTAATCAACTTAAGAAATATTATGAGAGGGGCAAACACAATTTTAATGACAAACCCACTACTTGGTAGCGGCAGGCGTTTTTCAGCCATCTTCGTGTTGCCAGTTGCATCAACACGTTGGTCATTCTGCTTCTTGCAATCAACCTGTATTCCAAGGTGCTTGTGAATGATTGCAACGTCAATAAGCCGCGAAGTCCCTGTCATAAATCAGAAAGTGGTATAAATTTCTGATTGGCAACAAATTGTGTGTGTTTAAGAGTGTCAAAATTGTATACTCGCCTTTCATTCTTCCCTGTCATCTGACACTTGGTATCTGCACCTCTCTACCTTTGTATACTTCACCCCCCCCCCTCAATCAACTTTGTATGCCTTTTGTGAATAATACTACTGAAATTGTGCCAAGTACTACTTTTTCTTGGAATAGGCTATTTTTTACGCGAACCTTGTTTATTTAGCATGCTCCCACCTTTGAGTTGAACAACTTATGATGCATTTGAATTGACACGGAAGTATAAAGAAACGATAGAGTTCATACTGGCAGTTGTCGCATTCTGGCTATTCTATAATAATGTCTGTCAAGTTGTTGAACCCATGTTCGTGGGATTGTCATCAGTTGAATAAATGGAATCGATTTCTAGTCATCTGCTCTGAGTTGAATATAGTCAAGAGGTTCTGTTATGAGTGGATATTAATCGGGGTACAGAATGTATGGAAAGCCAAATTTGACGAGGTGTTTTTGATTCCGTTCACAGAGATATTTATATATAGATGTAGAGATTTAAATTTACTCATACATTGTAAGGCACGCTTTGAAGCAATCCCATAATTGATATACCATTTTTTGTAAAATTCTAGAGACACAGTCTGGCTAATCAAAATCCAAATTAATTTTCAACGCAAAATGGCGCCTTGCGATAATTTGCTGTTGAGCAGAAAAGGAGTGGGAGTGACCAGGTATTCGAAACCAAAATCTACGCCGTGGATGAAGTGAATGTGCAAGGTTATGACGAAATTGAAGTATTACAAAGACTCAATAGTCAAATCAATGGTATGATCAATCTGCTTTGGAGAAAATGTGACAAGGAAAATTGAATGGGTAGTTGCTGGCCTCTTTATGTTATCACATCGGATTGTGGTTTGGAAC